ATCCAATTAAGAATTTTTTTAGTTCAAGGACCAAATTGGGGGTTTAACCAAAATTTTAATTTCCCTTAGCTAAGCTTGTTCTTTTCTTTTCTTTCCCCCCCTTTTTTTTTTTTAACAGTTTTCCCGAATTCGTTTTCTTGAAAAATTGTATACTAAACATGCCTTCAAAATAAAGTTGTTGGAACTAAATTTTAGAACGAAATTACTATTATGTGGGTATAGAGCCTCAGATCATAATTAATAACTATGATGAATTTGTCTTAATCGTCATTAGTATGATATTAATAAATGGCAGGTTTGGTACTCCCCTGTATATAATAGGGATGCATACATGATGGATGGCATACTTGTGTATCCCTCGAAGCTCTTTTTAGCCTTTAGCATCTTGCATACTTTCAGAGACTCGTACACTTGGGCAGAGAAGAGTGTTCTAAGCTGATAATTGATAACTTATAATGTGTATATATGTTTGTAAGATTGTTGTATTCTAATTGTGACATGCATATGCCGATCACTATTGGTAGTTTAATAGTCACAACTTCTTTGAGAAAAGCGGTGGCATTTAAAATTTTAAAATTTAAATTTTAACAATTCTATTCTCAATCCTCTAAATTGTACTAGTTAAAAAAAAAAAAAATTATGACATGCTTATATGTATATATTTTTATCATATTGGAGGGCTAAAGCTCAAACAAAATTGTGAATTGTTTTAGAGATAGTGATTGATTTCATGTTTTAATCTATATTTTGATTGTGTTTATCATACTTATTCCTCTCATATTTATGTATTTTTAATTCTAAATAATTTTACTAATTGTTATTTTTATTATTTTTGTGCGAAGAACAAAATAAATTGACTCCAGTAACAAACAGATTGTGTTTATGGCAGAATTTAGCAGGCTCCTTTTTTGTGAGCAGAATATTTCAGTTTCAGTTTGTTGAAGAAAAAAGGAAACTCATTGGTATTTTAAGCCAGCTTGACACATTAAATGCAGAGATTTGCAAGGAATTATCTTTGTAACTTCCCTTAAGCTCTTTTTTTTAAAAAAAAAAATAATTTGGTTTTGCTCTAAATACAATTATAAAATTCAAACCAGATATAAATCACTGGAGATTTAGATTCAACTGTTTAACCATCCATGATAAGATTATTCCTTGTAATATGCTCATCAATTGTGGCCAAAATTGAGCATAGGGCTTGCTATAGACAAGAATTTTAGGCATGAATCAGAATCATGCATACATAGAATTCCAAAACATGGAAATTAGGCAGAAATAAAAGTTGTTTTTTTTTTTTTAATAAATAAATAAAAGTTGGTCTGTTGGATATAGGTGGTATAAGCTACTCCAAAGTGGACAGGGGTCATTCTCGTGGGGAACCTATGATGGTATCAACTTCTACCTTTGGGTCTAATCATTATCTTCTCTTCTTCTTTAATTATATTCATAATCCCATTCCTTTATAATCCTGTCTCATTATTGATTTTGTTATATAGTTGTCCCATTTGTAATTATACAGGGTATTTATATAACATATGATTTATGCATGTAGAAAAAGTGTTGCTCAACATTACTTTTAAAAAATTAAGAGGAGAAGGGTCCTTAAAATTATACCATTTTAATAAATTTTTATTTAAAAAATTAAAGTAATTTATTTTTTAAATTAACAATGAATTTATTTTAGAATTTTTTTTCTGATACTTTAACGAAATAGTATAATTTTAAAATAATTTTTTTAATAATTTTTTGAAAGTTGGCTGACAAAGACTAATCTATATATATATATATATATTCCCCTCTCTATTCATTGGTTTTTCCTCACACCTCATACCCAAAATCATTATCAATTCAAAATTATTCCATTGTGACTTTACAGAAGTATATGTAGATTGTGGATATTTCTTCAAAAATGGGTTTTCTATATTCAAATTTGGATCTTAGAAAAAAAAAAAAAGGGAAATTCTATACAGAAGGGTGAATTTGTTAATTGAATGCCGCTAACTTTTTTTAAATGATTTTTAGAATTTCATTGTCATTGTCATTCCTC